TGATATTGATGGAAATTTTACGGCTAGCTATGAAAATTATGCACAATCTAAAGCAAAAGATACTATGCCAAATGCTCTAAATTTTGAGCCAGCTTATATTTCACCTACTAGACAAGAAACGATTTTACCAACTTCTTATCAATCGTCAAGTCCTAGCCAAAGACGTTCAGAGCAAAGGATCACAAGTGAAATATTTATCTCATCTCGATATGTAAAACAAAATAACTTACTACCATCTATAAATAATCATAATCAACCCACATTAAGATTGAGAGATAGGACAAAAATCACATTTGTTTAACTGACTAATTTCGAGAAATATCTTAATTATAGACTATTGCTTTTAACTGAAGATTAATATCATTTAGCCAGAAGCGCAATGTATAACTTATACATTATTTTTTTTTGCGCTATATAATCTGCATACATGATTGCCTAGTATAATTGTAAAATGTATTACCTGCATAATTTATGCGAGATAAAAATCACTATGCATGATCTATCTATTCTGGATTAGATCCTCCAATATTGTATAACTATTTTAATAAGTATTTCAGGAAGATCTATGAAGCGATCTTGGGGATTCTTGATTGCGAAATGATATAACTATTAATTTGAGAATTTCTATGCAACAGTTATCCAGCGAGCTTATAGGAATTATAAGAAGAGACCTGAATCATTGCAAAACAGATTTGGAAGGCAGTGAGGAATGATGGTACTCCTAATGAGAAAAAGTTTTTAGGTATAAAAAATGAAATGATACAATCAGAATATATTTGTTGTAGGTATGATGGACCTTGTTATCCAGTAAAAAATGAATGGATATTTGAGAAGATAGCCCAATTATAGGTACGATTAGATTTTGTGACATACATACTTGTTTATAAAATATTATATCAGCAAGGCTATATAGTTGTTAGAGGTTCATATTGGCTTGATATGTTAAAATAGCCACAGAATCCTGAATATTATAGTATTCATAAAAAATATAATTTTGAATTCTTCATCAGAATTTCAGAATATGAGGCATATAAGAGTAAATCATCAGGAATGGTAAAACCTATATGTGATTCGCCGTTAAAATACATATATTGTATTAATGGAAAAAATATTACCGTAAATTTCTCAGATTTGGATGATAATTGTAAGTTTGTACGCTGAATTTTCCAGATCAGTCCTTGACCCAGATCTCAAATAATACTGTATCTTAATAAAATACAGCTGTATGCATACGTGATACAATAAACACGTCTTTGATCCTTGTTAAAGTATATATAATGTAATGAGTGATACACCGCAAATCATCTGTAACTCTGTGTGACTGCTTGTGCGATGCCCCCTTGATCTATTGATCTGCGTGGTAAAATTAATTTTTGAAGGAGTGGTAGAATAGCATTTATTGGGTATATGCTCCAAAGTTATAGGATATTTCTACTATCCTTCTACTAGAGCATATTTAGCCAAAGGCACAGAGTATATAATGTTACTAGGCCTTTATTACTGAGCGGTCGAGCAAGTGAAATAAAAAAAGTTTGTATATGCATATTCCTTAATGCCTTTACAATATTGAGATCTACAATGCACATTCTGTATGTCTTTTACTAACGAACATAAAATTTTAGCGCAAAGTGCCTCGCATATTCTCCCACTTCGATCCTAACATAAACTCGAGTTCAGAGAAGACGTGAATGGGGAAATTACAATACATTTAAAAAGGCAGTATAGCGAAAAGGTATTGAAATTTACATTATTTTTATTTCGCTTAGTAAGCTTTTAACATTATATTTGACTACCTTCATCATTATATCTTCAAAATATTTATACGTAAAAACTGTAGAATATTTGACCAGCGTAAAGACTGAACATTTAATGGCGGACTCTATTATTTACCAAGGGTTAGAAGAAAATCCTTGGATTAGTAAAGACGAACTAAGAGGTGTTGTAGAAAAAGCGGTTAATTTGATAAAAAACTCGCATAGTGTAGATTTTGAGCGTTCTGGAAAACTTATTCAAATTATATCACAGGTACGCTATTTTATAGGTGAAATATTATGATCATATTAAATCGAATGATGAGTACGCAGATAGTGGCACTTCTGAGGAGATAAGTATGTCAGTATAAAAACCCCTATTAGCCTACCAACAGGATTTTTCTCGATGATGTGAAGGATTATTTATGCTGAAGTCCATGCTTGTTTTAATGTAGTTAATATTATGCTACACAAAGTTTCATTCATGTAGCCAGCCGTACCGAGTGATTTCTTTGTCTTGTTTTTTAATGACCGCGCGGTTATTTATATTTTCATTTGATGCATCAGCGGTTATCTAACTTATTTGTATATCTGCGTTAGTTCGATATTGCTTTTGATTGTATTAGCAATTTGCAGGATGTTGGAGTTATAAAAACGGTATGTTTTAAGAAAGGGTAGATGGTATGAATATATTTAATAACAATCTTTCGACTTGCAGAATAAAAAGAAGCCTCTTACTTCAGAACAGATTAAACACAATATAAATAAGTTGAAAGAAAAACTTGCTGTATGTAGCACTATCTTTTTTTTTATCTTGCTGGCAAGTCAGATTAATATAAGGTATTCGTATTATTTAGGCTGGAACATCAAAACTTTGCCAGGAGTTAGTAGTTATTTTAAATGGACTAACAATCTCTGAAAGATCCCTTTGGCTAGTCAGGTCATAAATGGTGATTCGTTACTAATAGCTAAATTATCAAAAAAATAAAAGAAAAAATTTATGGTATATATATTTCGCCAATACTCTCTTTTCTTGTCGGTGAAAGATAATCTAGATTATTTCTACCATCTAAAATTAATTATATTTATTCCAGAAACCAGTTGAAGAAATGGTGCTCCCAACAATGTCTCAAAGCATAACAGAAGAATGTGTGAAATTCATAACAAATTTCATGCCACGAAGTATACCAAGGTTGCAAGAAGGATTAATACATGATGGAAACTGGAAGGAATATGGCAATAAGCTTAATGAGGTCACGTTAAAAATTCTTGATACGTTGAAAAGTGTTTGGTGCAATCCGGCTTTCGGTCCTGAATTTGTCAAAATGATAAATGAGGATACCTATGTTAATAATGTAGTTGTCTTCACAATACGTGCTACATTATTTGATAACCCTTTGGAGAACATGCATTCATTACTACGTAAGTTTTTGTAATATCCCACCTCTATGTTTGCTATAGCAAGTTACGAATATTAAATTGATTTCTTTTTTAGTTTTAAATGCCAAAGTATAGCAAGTTCAGATAGAAGGGGTGACGGGTGCACTGGAAGACGGCCAGATATAATGCTTGTGTCAAAAGAGAGTGATAAACTTTACGAACTTATGTGTGTAGAATGCTCTCGAATTTTTTGTAATAAGCAGAAGAAAGATGATGATAATGTGAAATTATGACGCGAAACCAATGATGGAATGTATTGGGTCCAAAAAAGTTGCAAACCTGAGAAGGGTTAATTCAGAATTATAGGGGTGCAAGTAGCAGAGCAAAAGCTATGTCTGAATATTCTGATTAGAGACAAGGTTGAAGTACATTGTTATTACAAATTACATGAATCTATGATTCCAATTCGTTATACGTATAAACCTTCTGTTCTGGCTGAATTCATTAAAACTTTGTTGGTTTTGCGGAATATTTTAATTGTTAACATGTCCATACTATGCAGTACTCCTTTACGTAGATCAAGTAGAATTTTAGAAGATAGTTCAACAGTAACATCTGATTAAGTTAAAATAGATAGATTGTATATACTATTAATAAAAAATCTCTTGGCAATTTTCTGAGACCGCGCAGTCTCACAAATTTTTCATCTTTTTCTTGGCAAAAGTGATTGGTGTGATGAATCGTCATACGCACGTAAAAAATTTTGTGAATAAAATCTTAGCAAATTTCGCTTACGGGCTGTAAGAGAAAATATATGATTTTTTACTTTGAATATTAACATACTAATACTATATTATGCAAGCATGCAATCTGAAATAGATGAGACCGATTCATTGAAAATATGCATTGCCAGGCTTGAGATCGAAAATGCCGAACTTAGAAAGAAATTTGCTGAGATTGAAGTCAGGAATGCTGAGCTTAAGGCCAGAATTGCGAAATTGGAAGATAAGCAATTGCAAAATAAAATAGTTAAAAACTTATTATCTGTATTATGAAAGACGTGATCATGTATTTTTGACAAATTTCAGCCGGAGCACCCCTGCCAAAATCACGTGAATTTTTTGCCAATCAGAGTTTTCTAGCAGATCCCCTATCTGATGTAACGCAATCTGTGATATTAGCTCGTAGCAAAGCATTTTCAGGGAAATTCTCAAAATTTTCTTATAAAATTTCTGAATCTATAAAATTTTCAAAATTTTTTATTAGTTACCTATGGTAACAATGACCGGTATACTAACACCATCTTTTCACGTATATTATTTAAAGCAACTTAACCAGCTCCTTCATTCCATCAAAATAGATGTATAGTGACGTCTTACTTCACGAAAACATCTATTATCAATAGAACAGACAAGTAGTATTCATCCCGAAGTAGAAGATTTGTTAAATAAGGCAGTTAGAAATTATATTAAGCAAAAAGAGCGTCAGAAGATGAAGCTCATTACTAGCGACTATGAAACTTCATTAAGGCAAGAAAATGAGGAATTGTGTATATCAAAGCAGGTATTGGAAAAAAAGATTGAAGAGCTTC